TGGTCGGATTGTATGACTTAAGAAAACGCTTAGAGCTCTGGACTAGATAGACGTTGAAGCCGAAATTGAGGATTGTTAGTCAGCCGAGCTAGAAACTTGAAGCTCTGTGAAGCTAGTAAACTGCTTATTGATTAACTGTATTATTCAGTGGACTGATGCAACCAGCTACGGCATGGCTCATCTTCTGAACCTCCTTCCCCAGGCTCTGCTGGGCCCTTTTGGGAGCAGGGCAAGGCATGGCACAAGGGCTTGTTCTCCAAGCCCCGTGCAGGGCAGGAGTCCCTTTGGCCACACTGTCTTGCTAACTGGCTCCAGGAGGGGAGCTAGAGCAATGGGCTGCCAGGAATGCAGGGAGAGCTTCTCAGGAAACATCTCCTGCTAGCCCTGGGGATTAGAGCACCCCCAGCGCTGCTTACCTCCCAGTTCCTCTGGAGTGCAATTACTTTCCCATAAATAGTTCCCTTCTTTATTGTTTCTTAGTGACTGAGTAAAAATAGAAGATGCTGTCAGCTCCTAGGCGTGAGGCGCATGCTGCAGACTGTGCGTTTCGCTGGGTTCAGTCTGGGATATTCTTCCTTCTCGCTCAGGATCCCAGACTCCCCTGAAATCCACGTGTCTCGCCCAGCCAGTCCAAAGAGACTCGACTGATATTTTGCAAGACTTAAAACTCCTCAGCTGATTTCCTGTCCATAATTGGCTAAAAGATGTCCCTGACAAGGACCAAAAAGGACAGTTTTCCCCAGGAGGCCAGTGTGCTGCTGCTTTCTTATTCCTGCCAATACAGGTGAGCGTTTCTCCTAAAGCATGGCACAGAGTAGCCTGCTGGCCACTAAGGTGGACTGGGAGCTGGGACATTTGCCTCCCACGTGTGTGACACCAAGCACAAGGAGCGCTAGTGCATGAAAATCCACAGGCTGAAGGATGAAAATTTTACACCCAGAAGAGCAGACTCTGGAAAACAGTCACTCTGGAAAACAGGTAAAAACAATCCCCCTGTTCCTGCCAAACATCCCTTTGGCTCACTGACTGCAGAGGGTATGTTACATTGCTGTTTCCTGAGGCACGATGCTCTGAAGGTTCAGAAGCGCAGACTTTTGCTCTGACTGCAGTAGCCTTTGCTTCTCATCTACCAATGTCTTTGAGTAGAAACCCAGCTCCTTTTCGTGTATCACCACGCAAGGGATCCTTCAGGCCCAGGCTGTTTTGCGTTTACGTACTCCCTCCTGCATGCAAGTGTTGGCAGTTGCTCTCGTCGTCCTTTTCCATAGCGGTCTGTTTACTGCTGAGATTTGTGCAATAGCTTGTGAAACGGTCACGTGCTGGCTCAGCCGCAGCTCGTGAGTTGTTAGCAAAGCCAGCTAACTTCACAAAAGGGGATTGCTGTATTTTGGGGGGCAGGGGTAAGATGAAGGTGGGCAGTGGCAAGGAGAGCAAGTCTGGGCCCCCAAATCTCCGGGGAATGTTTTGAGAGTTGTGGCGCGAGCACCCGGCTGCCGCCCAGCCGGCTCCACGTGGCACGGGGGTGAATGAGCACAGATTTAGTGGGGTTTAGTGGATCTTGAGGTGCGGAGCATTAGCAGTAACTGTATTGCCTCTTTAAGGGTGTTTCGGGAGCCTGCCCTGCCCTGGGAATTGCCGACACAGACGGTAGCGTGTAGCAACCCCGGAGTAATTTTCAAACAACCGCCTTGCATTTCTTAAGAGAACAAGTTGGAGCAGGATTATACTTAACTGGAATGAGCCCAGCCTTTTCTCAGCTCCTTTTCCTGCATTTTTGGCCCGTTTCCCCCACACAAGCGCTGTGTCAAGGTTAATTCGAATGTCCTGGTCAGACCAGCCGTATCGATAATGTTTTGCCTCCTCCAAAAGGCCACCTGCATGTTCAGCGCTGCCGGGCGTCGTTTTCCCTGACCGACAGCTGTCCATCCGTCCATCTGTCCGTCGCTGCCACCCAAGCAGGAAGGTGACCGCGATGCTGTCCTTGCTGCCGGGTGCAGAAACGCTGCGCAGGGCAGAGGCGCCGGTGAGTTGGGCAGCCTTTGCCCCTGCAGGGAGGCGATGGGGGCAAAGAGCTGCCTCTGGCACTTGCCCTTGGATAAGGGCCCCCCGACGGGGACTCTGCCCCAGGCTCGCGTGCAGTGCAGGGCGCTGGGTGCAGCCGGGGCCTAAACCGAGAGCCTGCGCGGGGAGCTGGTGGCGCGGGCAAGAGAGCACGTCCCCCGCGCCGAGAGCCGGCGCGGGGAGCTGGTGGCGCGGGCGAGAGAGCACGTCCCCCGCGGCGGCCATCAGGTAGGCGCTCCGGCTGTCGGTCCCACGGGGTCTGCCCCGCTCGCGTGCAGCGGTGGGTGGGTGTTTTGGCTGATCCTAGGCCTTTTTTGATCCCTGGTCACATTTCTTGCGCTTTCCTCTCGCTCTCTGGCCTCCCTTTGGGCAGGGACTACGCAATCTCCTCAACTGCGTGGTCTTGACACCCCCAAGATGACAGCTGTCACAGAACAGCGCTGCTATGGCCTCACCCAGCTCTGCAGGGAAGTCCTGCAGCTTCCTCCGGGCTGAGCGCTGCAGCCCCCCCTCCCTTCGGGGCTGCACCCCTGCACTGCACCCTAACTTGGTGCTCCACCCCTGCACTGCAACCCCCCAACAGCTGCACCCCTGCACTGCACCCTAACTTGGTGCTCCACCCCTGCACTGCAACCCCCCCAAGGAGCTGCACCCCTGCACTGCACCCTAACTTGGTGC